TGCATGTGTGCCCAAGATCCCAAGAGGAGAATGGAGGAGAAGGGATTGCGGTGTGGCCATCCCCCCTGGGGGGTGATTTCTCGCTTTCTGTCTCTCTGTCTCTCTCTGCCTGTCTGGTTGACACACACACCCTATGGCAAAAACCTCTCAAAAAAAAAAAAAGAGAGAGAGAGAGACAGAGAAAGAGAGAGAGAGAGAGAGAAAGTGAGACATCATCCTCTAGGAGGATGGCCCAGGGAGGATGACCATGCTGCAATCCCTTCTCCTCCATTCTCCTCTTGGGATTTGGGGCATGCATGCCGTCATGTCAGGAGTGATTTCCAAGCTGCCAGTTCTGGGACTCAAACCGCAGTTGGCCATGTGGGACCCAACTTTCTATGCACAGCACTTATTTGCTGTGTACGGAGCCAGGCACTGGTTGTGGGCCATGGCATGGTCCTGTCTAAGCCTGGCAGGGGTGGCCGAGCTCTGGCTCATATTTCTCTGGCCTGCGTGCTCCTCTCCAGGACTCTGAGTGCTCTTGGTGGTGACTGTACCTCTAGTGTGGGCTGGGGTGGCCTGGGGTCTGGCAGTCCCAAGCACAAGGACTCACATCACCTCTGAAGGCTCACGCTCAAACTTCTCAGTGGGGTGTAGGAATTTAAAAGGCACACAGAGAAAAATGACCTGGCTGTCTGGGACAGCGGCTGCACACAGAGGTTCTCTATGGGAGTCCTGCCTCCCGGGTGTGCACTAGCTTTCGGAGACTCTGGGGCCAGTTGATTTTGAGGTGTACCATGAGGGGACATGGATTCGGTATCAGCAACTTTCCCACAGGGATTGAGTCAACATTAACATGCTGGGGAACCCTTCTAAGAAAGAGGAGGGGAGAGAGTCAGTTTCTCATTTGCTCAGGGGACTATGGGAACAATTCACATTTTTATTGGGTTACTAGGTGTGGACATCTATGCCTCACGCTTCCTATGCAAGCTCTCGTTTACTGCCCCAGCATCCTTGCTCAGCAGAGCCTGTCATCGGTCCCGTTTTACAGACGAGAAAGCAGGCTCAGGGAGGTAAAGTCGTGTGCTTAAAGTCACACAGCGAGTAACTGATGGCAGCAGGGATTTGAACTTACTTGCAGCACTTCCAACGACTAGAAGGACCTGGTTTTGTAACTGCCATTGGCACATGTGCCAGGATGGGAAGGCTGAGTCTCTGAAAGGTTCTGTAGGATTCACCATCACTTCTGTCTCACAAGGAGGCAGAGACAGAGACTAAGGTGAGTTGCTGCTTTTGCCCTAACTTTGTCATGTCTGTGTGACTCCAAGCAAGTTCCTGGCCCTCTGTGGCTTTTGTTTAATTAAGCGAACAATGAGGTCCAGGGCTTACTGATGTTGAGGTACTTACTAGCTTTGAACAGTCCCAGTTCATCCCTGGAGAGCTTGTGTTGTTAAACACCCAGGGTCCTGTCCTTGTTCTGTATGTTGACAGAGGTTCTCCCCACCTCAATGGCTCTCCTTACTCTCTTGTCATAAGAGAGCCAGTTCCCCTCAATACCAGGTCCTGTGTGGGACATCTGTGTGACCTCAACCAGCCCCTCAATCCTTCATCCTTCCTGAAGACCCTCTGGGAACTCTGGACCCCCCCATTTTCGCACTCCTTCTAAACTTTTCTAAGAAGCCCTTTCTAAAGGGTCCTCTTTGGGTGGGGAAGAAAATCAGTGTCTCCTAAGATGATTCTAACTTGGGCATCGGGGACAAATCCTACGCCAGCACAACGAACCATGCAGACTAGGCTTGTTTTCTGATTGTTACTGTCTAAAGGGGTGCGCTAAGTCTGTAGTGTGCCAGAGGACAGCATCCAGTGGCCAAGGACCTAATGGCAGAAGAAGCCTGAAGGGGGTAGTAGGAGGAACTACTTAGAGGGCAATACTGGGCATTCGGGTGAACACCTTTTTAGAGTCTATCTCCCCTTCGACCATGTGGGGATGGATGTCCACGTTCAATCCTGCATCCTTGCACAGTTTGATCAAGGTCCGAATGTTGTTCTTGGATAACCTCAGGTATCTGTGCAAAGGAAAGCCAGAGAGGTCAGTTGAAAATGGAGTCATGACAGCTTCTAACTTTATTGAAAAGAGCTTAGGTTTAAGCAGCAGGAAGTATGAGACCTCAAGGAGAAATGGGCTCTCCAAATGTTTGGGGAGCTGATGGACACCCAACACGAGGACATCTCACAGGGCAGGTAGGAGTTTATCTGGTAGAACTCTTTTGGAAATCCATTTGCCAAGCACCACCTCTGGGTCCCCACCAAAGAAAACAGGTTCAGAATCTTTGACTCAGTGACTCCATTCAGGTTCTTGACTTATCCCAGGTAGAGAGATCAATGGAAAGAGCTATATAAATAAAAATGTTCATTTGGGGATTAGCAACAGCAGGAAAATTAGAAATTCTATTAACAGAAGAACGGTTAAGCAAATAATAAACTATCTCATTTCAAGAACTCTTAATAAAGCATTAGGAAACAGAAGGTACAACATGGCTGTGACATTACGCCAAGTGGGGAGAAAAAACAGAATGCAAATGGACATGCTTTACCATCCATTCTGTCACTGACCGTACAGCCTGTGCTTAAACCATACCCTAGTCCCTCCGTAAACAGTGTGTTTTTTAAAGTAACAAGATTCATGCCTGTGGGTAAGGTAATGCTTTCCTTCCCCATTAGAACCAGCCCCAGAGTGGGACCAACAGATGGTGTAATGGTTATGTCACTGGACTCCCATGTAGTCAACCACAGTTTGAGTCTCAGATCTGGTAGCTTAAAACTCATGCTGGATGGGTGTGTGTGTGTGTGTGCCTAAAATCCTGAGAGGACCAGGAGGCATGGTTTTGTGCATTACCCCCCGGGGGGGGGGGGTTTCTCGTTTTCTGTCTCTCTCTCTCTGTCTGTCTGGTGAGTACTTGTGCCTTATAGCATAAATCTCTCTCTTAAAAATGACCTCTGTAGGGACCAGCAGTTAGCGTAATGGCTATGTTGTTGGATTCCCACGTAGTTGACCGTGGTTCGTGTCCCAGACCCGGTGGCTTAAACTCATGCTGGGCGCTTGTGCGTGCATGCCCAAGATCCCAAGAGGAGAATGAAGGAGAAGGGATTGCAGCATGGCCATCCCCCCTGGGGGGTGATTTCTTGCTTTCTGTCTCTCTCTGTCTGGTGAGTGCACGTGCCCTATAGCAAAAACCTCTTCCCCCCAAAAAACCAAAAAACAAAACAAAACAACAACAACAAAAAACTCACTCTGGGCGTGTGTGTGAATGCCCCAAATCCCAAGAGGAGAATGGAGGAGAAGAGATTGTGGCATGGCCATACCCCTGGGGGAATGATTTCTGGCTTTTTGTTTCTCTGTCTCTCTCTGTCTTCTCTCCAGTGAGCACATGTGCCCTATAACAAAAATCTCTCTCTCAAAAAAAAAAAAAAAAAGGCTGTAGTGAACTGACATGCCCTCCAGGACCCTGTCCACTGGCAGATGAGGAGACTGAGAAACTTGAAGGCTTCAGCCCTAGAGCAGTCCTTTGGGACTCAGGCAGAGTTCAGCCATGCCAAGCCCACCCTCCACCTAGGAGGATGATCTACATCAGGTTCAGCCCAGTGCCTCAACCAGAGGCATTGGTGATTAAAGCCGTTCTTCTGGGATACCCCCAACCCCCCAAACACAGGGCCACTCACCGGCAGCTCAGCACCTCCTCTGGCTTTAGCATTCTCACAGTCTCAATCTTGGGCTCAGTGCCCTTCTCCATGAGGCTCTTCAGCTTGCGCTCGTAAGTGCTGTCAGGGGTCTTGGTTGCCCATTCTCTCATGAAGGTCTGCCTCCGGTTGCCGAAGATCGTATCTTGCAATATAGGATCTAAAACACTGCTCTGCCGGCGGAATGGGTTTGCCCGTTGAGCGGCCTCCATAGCGGCTATGTCCTTGGCGTCTGCGTCTGATATTGGACAGACGTTACCAAGGAGTTAGGTTCTGGGAGAGGCGCGTGCTCGCGAAGGCAGAAGGGAATGAGGGCTGAGAAATACCTAGGCTTCAAACAATACTTGTTCTGGGGACCAGCAGTTGGCGTAATGGCTGTGTTGCTGGACTCCCATGTAGTTGACCATGCTTCGAGTCCCAGACCCAGTGGCTTAAACTCATGCTGGGCGTGTGTGTGTGTGCATGCCCAAGATCCCAAGAGGAGAATGGAGGAGAAGGGATTGTGGCGTGGCCATCTCCCCTGGGGGGAGATTTCTCACTTTCTGTCTCTCTGTCTCTCTCTGTCTTTCTGGTGAGTGCTCACACCTTATAACAAAAAATGTCTCCAAAAAAAGAAACAAAACAAAACAAAATCAATACTTGCTCTGAAATATGAGATCTAGTCAAGACTTCTGCAAGCTTTCCTTCATAGCACGTGGTTAATCTTTATTTATCCCTTTTCTCCTCTCTCCTTTTTCTCCGCCTAATTCCTTTTCTTTATCTCCTTCCATTTCCCCCTTCTCTCAATATTTTTTCTTTCTCTCCAGAGGGAATTTACCTAGAGGGAATGAGCCTACAAGAGGTAGGGGAAGGATTAAAGGAGATATAGTTTGATTTCTATTCATTTATTTTTAGTTTAGTGTTTATTTTTGTATTTGCTTGCTATAGGGCATGGTACTCTTGCCAGAGAGAGGCGGGGAATGAGACATTAACCCCCAGGGGGTATAGCCACCCCAAATCCTTTCTCCTCCACACTCCTCTCCAGATTCTGGGTATGCACACACACATGCCTGGTGTGATTTTTCTGGTCACTGAGTCTGGGACTTGAACCACATAATCAACCATGCAAAATCCTTAACCTCCACATCTTTTTTACAGAGACTTTTGCTATAGGGTGCATGTGCTCAAATACAGGGTTTGTAGTAAGTGAAAACTTTTATTTTTGCCTCTATCCCACAGGCTTTGGTATGAAACAAGCTTATTTTATACAACATGATATGTTAAATGTAGACCTTCAGACAGAAGGGAAATGATCCCATACATGAATTTGGAAATAAGCAAAACAACAAAGTACACTGGAAATTTAATGTGGGTTAAACATATTATGTATTAAAATACAGTTGTTTAAAATAAAAATAATAATATATAATGGGGTTTATAGGTATGGAGAAATATAATGTGTAGCAACAATAACATGAAGTCTGGGAGAGGAGAAATGTAAGTTTCTTGTGCTTTACATGAAGTGAGGGAAGACTGTGGTAATTTAACGATAAAAACTATAAGCTCTATTCTGAAGAATTATATCTAATAAGATAAAAAAAAGAAGATGAAATTTTAAAACAACCAAACAAAAAACTCAATCTAAAAGAGTACAGAAAAAAGGAGAGGACAAGTAAAGAAAGGATTGGACAAATTAGAAACAAATACGAAGAGGGTAGATTTAAACCCAACCAACATCAATAACCATGGTCACTGTCAGTGGTCTAAACATCGCAATTAAAAGGCTGAAACTGTAATATTACATAGAGGAAAAAAAATTAAGATTAAATTATATGCTGCCTGCAAGAAAATAACATTATCTTTTATTTTCATTTTTCCAGGTTTATCAAGATAGAATTGCAAAATAAAATTGCATATATTTAAGGTATACAATGTGATGTACATATTTATTGTAAAGTGATTGTCATCACATTAGTTAACGCACTTATCACTTCACATAGTTACCTTTGTGTGTGTACCATATTTTTCTTTATTCACTCATCAGTGGACAGTTAGATTGTTTTCATGTTGTGGTTACTGTGAATAATTCTGATGAACATGGGAGTGTAGATATCTCTTTGAAATACTAATTTCATTTCTTTCAGATATATACTAATAAGTAGAATTCCTATGTCATATGATGGTTCTATTTTTAATTTTCAAGAAAATTTCATAGTGTTTTCTGTTTCTACCAATTTACATTTCCACACATAGTGTGCAAAGGCTCTCTTTTAATCACATTTTCTCCAACACTTATTATCACTTTTTTTTTCCCCATGATAGCCATTCTAACAGGTGTGAGGTGATATCTTATAGTGGATTTGCTGTTTCTTAATGATTAACAATGCTGAGAATCTTTCATGTACCTGTTGGCTATTTGCATTTCTTATTTGAAAAATGTCCTTTCATGGCCTTTGTCCATTTTTAAATCATATTTTTTTCACTATTGAGTTTTATGAGTTCTTTGTATATTTTGGAAATTAACCCCTTATCAGAGAGATGGTTTACAAATATTTTCTCCCATTCAATAGATTGCTTTTAGTTTCATTGATTAATTCCTTTGATGGGCAGAAACATTTTCATTTGGTGTAGTTTTACTTGTTTACTTTTGCTGCCTATACTTCTGGTGTTGTACTCAAAAAATCATTGCCAATACCAATACTGAGGTGTCTTTCCC